TACGTCCTGAAAAGATAGATACTGTGACTTAGAGGATTGTATAGATCTTCACAAGATAGGTTGTATTCTAACTTGTGAACATGGTTATTATTTTGAATGTCTTTTATTTAAAATAAGTAATCAGTATCAGTATTATATCAATTATCTTGTAAGTGGAATTGAAAGTAATTGTAAGATTTTTCAGAAAAGCGTGAGTTCATTTGATGAAATAATCATGTTAAGTATATAAATGAGTTGAATGTTACCGAAACTGAGACTGGTGATACTAATAATGATGAAGACTTTATTATGGATAATAATATAGATTTACAATTCGAAAAAAACTGTAAATGCTTTAATAAATGCATAATTTAAGGAAATTACTATTACACATAAGGTTACAAAAATGCTAATAGATTGGGATATAAATGGCAGTTATGATTATTTGAACTAAATCATCAAAATATGATAATTTTAACTTTTAATTCTTTAATAAAATCACTTAATTATTATTTTTCTTGATTATTATACTTCTCACCATTTTATCTTTTGTTAATTTTATTACTTTTGGTGATTTGGTGATAAGATATTTTTTTTGATTTAATCGTTTTTATATCATGTGATCATGCTAATTTAATCAACCAATAGAATTTTAGTAATAATAAAAAATGATCTACAAAAATTAGCCAATCACAATGAATGTCTGCTATGCTTATTAGATCAAGAAGCAAAATAGAATATTGAATAAATTTTATTGATGATTTAAAAATACTATTTTTCATTGATGAATAATTATAAAATTTATATAATAGTTAAATATAATAATTATTTTTTTTTTTAAATTATATTTTTGTTTTTATTTAAATAAATAAAGTTAAAATTTAATATTTTAAATATAAACTAATATTAAATTTTAAATAATATAATAAATTGATTATATACTAATTTATCAAAAATATCAAAAATAATTCTAATACAAGTAAATTAAATTACAAAATATAATTTGTTAAAATATTATGATGGTCTATGTCAAATGATATTAATTTCAATCTTTAGAATCAATAGATAATATATTATTAGCAAATTACAATTCATATATATTTTGAAATAAATATTTATCTATCAATCATAAAAATTTTATAATACTCCATTTGATATAACTTATTATAAGGATTTAATAAGCTATATTTCATCTTTTTACAATTATTGGTTACCAAATTATTGCTATTTAATTTATTTGAATTAAAATTATCAAATTGGTAAATATAAATATATATTTAATCAATTTGGCCAGCCAAAACTTGAAAAATATTTTGGTCATTTTGTTCATGATCAATAGCCAAATGGCTAAGTATCAACTTTATTTTAATATATTCTTAAAGAAATATAAAGAAAAAATAAAGAAAACAATTAAAAAACCACTAAAATACTACTTCTGATTTATTTATCTTAATTTATTTCTAAAAAAAGTAAAGAAAAAAAAGAAAAAAGAGTTAAACCATCTAAAAGTCATTTCTGATTTGCTTACCTTAATTTCAAGATAAGAATTTCCTAAAAAAAAAGAAAAAAGAAAGGAAAAAGTTAAATTTATACCAAAAAATCATCTCACTAGAAAAAAAAAGAAAAAAATTTATTCAGAATATTTTGAAAGTTTATCAGTTTTATACTGTAATTGAACTAAAATTTTGATTACAGTCAAACCTTGATATAGCGAATCCTTGATATAGTGAATTTTTAAATTAAATATATTAAAATTAATTATTTTACTATAATGAACTAGCCAATTAAATTCTTTAAAAAATTTGTTAAAACTTATAACGAAGTTGATATCCAGATCCTAGAATTCGTTATATCAAGAGTTCACTGTAATCTGTAATTTAGATATTATTTTTACTTATTATAAATGATCCAAATAGATGATTTTGCATTATCTGATTGATCTGATTGGAATAATATAGAAAATTTTTCAAAAAAAATAATAATTTGATTGTTGCTTTAGAACGATAACAAAATTTGTTCTTTCAGAACATTTATGTATCATTCTAATAAAACAATGTAAATTGTTATTCTAAAGGAATGATGAAGTATTGTTCCAATAAAAAAATGTAAAATATTATTCTAAAAGAACGATAAAAAAATCATTGTTTTTTCAGAATAATGATAAATCATTCTAAAAGAACAATAAAAAAGTTATTTTTTCAATATGATGATGTATCATTTCAAAAGAACGATAAAAAAAAATTGTTCTTTCAGAATGATGAAGTATTATTCTAAAAGAGTGATAAAAAAATCATTCTTTTAGAATAATAAAGTATCATTCTAAAAAAATGATAATAAAAATCATTCTTTCAGAACAATAAAGTATCATTCTTTTAGAATGATAATTGAATTATTCCTTTGAGAATGATTTCTATCATCTCTTTGAAAATAATTGTTGGTTCCTTTATTTTGAAATGATTATTTGTTTCTTTAGGAACGATAAAAATCATCTCTTCAGAAATGATTGTTTGTTTCTTTTAAGATGATTTCTATCATCTTTTTTAGGACAAATGTATTGTTTCTTTTGGGATGATTTCTATCATCTCTTTGGGAAATATTTTTATAATTATTACAAAAATCAGTTCAACAGATTTTTATCAATGAGATACAGTTAATTTGTTATTGAATTTTGAGTCTAACTGAAATATTACCAAATATTTATAATTGAAAGTTCTTAATACTGAAATAATGTTAAATTATGTATGATATAATAAATTATTATTAATCTTTGTAACTTACGCTGAATTTTTGCTAAATCACATGATTGAATTAACTGAATGTTTATTAAAAGGTCTTAATGCTAAAATAATGCTATATTATGTGTGATGTAATAAATTACTATCGAAAAATCTTAATGCTAAATAATGCTATATTATATGTGGTATAACAAATTATTATTGAATTTAATAACTTAAGTTAAATTTTTGTCAAATCATATGACTGAATTAACTGAATGTTTATTAAAAGGTCTTAATGCCAAAATAATGTTATATTATGTGTGATGTAATAAATAACTATCGATTTTTGTAACCTAAGTTAAATTTTTGCCAAATCATATAACTGAATCAACTAAATGTTTATCGAAAGGTCTTAATGTTAAAGTAATGCTATATCATATGTAATATAATAAATAATCATTGATTTTTGTAACTTAAGCTGAATTTTTACCAAATTATATAACCAAATTGGCTGAATATTTACTGAAAGGTATTAGTGCTGAAAGAAATGATTTTGACTAGTGTATCTTATTTATATCAGACCAGTTTATTTATTCCATCATTATAATAAGTTTCTTCTTTTCACATTTTTATTGTAAACTATTTTCCTCTAATGATTTAGGAAATGATCATATTAGATACTTATGATTTCGCAAATAATTTCTTTGATTTATCAAGACTTAAATAATATTTTCCTTTTTTAATTATAAATTGAATTTCATATCATTCCAATTAATTATATATTAGCTCTAGAATATAAGCCTGATTTTTAAAGTAATAATTAATTCAAAGTTCAAACATTGCTAGATTTAATAATAGATCAAGAAATACAAACCTTAAAATGTTTAAACAATTCCTTATCATTAACTGCATCTGCTCTTTTATTCTATTACATTTCTTATTTTTCTTTAAAAGTTAATGCATTTAGAATATTGGTTCAACATTTACAACATCTATCTTTAAAAAAAGTGTTGTTACTTGATTAAGAGTTTATCTTTATATATTATTAAAAGGAAAATGTATATTTAAATATTATATCAATTAAAGTACTAATATAGATATATATAAAAAATATATAAAAAATATCTGTTTGTTCATGCTAATCGAATATATAAGCAAGCAATATCATGGATTAGCTATTCCAAAATATATGATAATAAGAATTATAAACTTAAACATGTGATTTAAGGAGATTGGTAAAGTTTAATAATAGTTGATACAAGTTTTTGCTGAGATACTTTTTGTTGTTGAAGGCATTTCTGAAGCATCAAATTAAAAGAAAGTTAATCTTAGTATATCTTATGAAATTACAAGAAAGGTTTAGGATAGCTTGCAAGCAAGAGATAAATTTAAAGAAATGGTTAAAGATTGCAAAATAAGTAAAATACTAGTAAACGAAAGAATAATAATATTTATATTCAATAATTTATTAATAATTTTAATTTTTTAGTTATTGAAAAGTACACAGATAAGAACTCGAAAGGAAGAAGGACTCTAGGAGAAGAGTTTTGAAAATAATTTGAAACCCCATTTTGGAAAAAGCCTGGTTGGTATAATAAAGCTTTCTAATTGATATTAATCCTCTTTTATACTTTTTTTTAATGCCTCATTCCGATTTCATAACCCATCTTTATCACTTACTGAACTAGTTGATGTTATTGCAAGCTATTTATGTCTCTCCACCTAATTCTACTATTAACCCATCTATTTATTTTTTAGATACAATTCATTAGAAATGAACTAGCTTCATTAAAAGACATGGGATTCTTACAAGGAAAATTTGAAGAAGAAATAATTGAAGAAAATCATTATTAAAATTCAATATTTATGTTTTTTAGCAACCTATATTTATATATTTATATTTTTTAGAATCCTCAACTTCTAATCCTCCTCCTCAACTCAATCACCTCGTTCCACATACCTCAAACCACAACAACTATCCGAAACCCAAACTAACCCTTAATAATCCTCTTCTTACAACTATTGTCGCTCTTTTTTCCAACTATCTTACAATAGAAAGAAAAAATCAAAAATTTAATACTTTTTAGGCCTGAAATGCTATGATTAAGTTTGGTGAAAAATCAATTTTATTATATCATTATAGAAAATATTAAAATTATACATTACAACATCTGGTAATTTGATGCATAATTCAATTTCAATATAGATTATATACATAATTCACTATGATACAAATACTTTTTATATGAATTACATGATATTTACTTTACAAACAGCACCTATATAAACTTGCCCAAAACGTAATTAGACATCCTCTACATCATCATAAATATTTCCATATACTTCTTTCAAGATAAAATAAGCCACATCATTATCATACCAATAATTAAGGTGCGAGGTAATCGCAGTAATGTAAGCAATATCTAATATACCTTCTTGCAAACAATAATCAATTCTACCTGTGGAGTTTAGGCTTTTAAGTTTATCTGCTCCACTTAAGTTTTCAAATGATGGCATTTCTGAAGAATCATTTACTTTTGAACTTTGTTTTCTTGTCAAATCTAGCGATTTCCTTGAAATATCCATTGAACCTGACCTCGAATTTGTCGCAGATGATGATGAACTTGATGTTTTTGATTTCTTTGTAAATAATAAAGACGTCTTAACTGCTGAAAAAATATTTGTAGTCTTTCTGCCTATTCCTATTGTAACTGCTTTAAGACCTCCCTTGTTATACGGAATTAATGCTGGATCTAATTTTGCGTATCTATGAGATACAAGCGGTTCTTCAAATCCAAAAAAAGGTAAGTTGATCAGTTTCATCGTATAAATTAAGAGAATCAACTTTAAATGAAATTATTCGTACCTAATCTGTACGCGATTGGATCCGTTCTATGAAATATATTATATATATTCTTTACTGCAGGGTAACAATAAGGTATTGATGTTGAAGCCATGAACTTTTTATTATTTGATTCACCTCCATTCTCGGGATCCACCAAATACTTTCTAGAACCGACTTTAAGTCCTTTAAGCATCAAAAATAATCCTATAGGTGATCCTGCTGCAAAAAAATTCCAAACAGGAAAATCTAATTTAACAACTTCCTCATAATTCTTCACTTCACTTTCATCATTTCCATTAACTTTGTGTTGAGATCTTTCGTCAAATATCCCAAATATAGCATTTGATGAATTAAATAATGGTGGTTGATGGCATAATACATCAAATGCTAATAATGATCCAAGTGAATGACCAAAAATCGACACCTTTCCTTTCTCTTTAAATTCTGGATTACGTTCCAGGAATAAATTATATACCCTATTCACTTCTTTGGTGACCGTTCGTAGCATTTGTTCTCTATAATTTGGTGTCATATATAACAAAACTATATAGAATAAAAATAGTTTAGACTATCCGAATCATATTAAAGTGACAACAAATAAACGATGAAAAGCGATTCATTTTTATTACCATCCATTAATACGTCAGACATAAACATTCTTAAACCTGGAACTCCATCTAATGTCAAGTCATCAAGCGTACATTCTCCATCAAAACCTTGCGTATCATCCTCTTCAGATGCCATCCCAAACTTTTATTAAAATAAAAATATACAATTCAATCATATTTCAAAAAATAAAATTCGATTACGTAAATAAAATATAAAATACCTTGATTTCTTGCCTCCAGTGGATAGGGAGTACTTGAATTCCATTGCCAATTTGTGAATACTTTTTCTTTTCATAGTTTGGTGGAAGTCTAGCGATGCACTCTTGTGGTGGATTTGCGGAATATGTACGCTTCAATGTTTTTCTGAGAACATTCACCTCTTCATTAAAAATTTAACGCTCTTCAATACAAAAATCTGCATAAAAAGGAAAAAAAAAATCTTACGGGATAAAAGTTTACATTACCATGTACAAAATTCGTATACCCAGATCTTTCGCACATTTTCTGCCCAACCCTAAATAAAATATAACATATTGAATACAACACAACAACATATAAAGATAAAAGAAACCAACCAATTCCTTACCCATGAATGACAAAAATTAAGTGATCAATCTCTCTAATCTCTTCGCTCGCTTCAACACAAAAATCTTCGGTTTCTTGTAATTGTCGCTTTTTTTCCAATGCTCTCCTTCTTGCTTCAGGTGTATCATCGTCATAATCATTAATTTTATCTACATTTGGTTTTTTTGAGGTAAATGTCTCAACTTCTTCATATCCTCTAAATAATCTTACACCTCCTAAATTTCCTCCGCCGGTAAATCTTGAAAAAATTGATTTTGATATATGTCCTGTTAGATCATCCCTAAAAAAAAAAAAAAAAATATTAATTATCAAAAAAAAAAAGATCAAATTGATTGTATTTAAACTAACTTTAACATCCAAGCAGTTGTTGGAGTATTGTAAATAACATATTGTGATTCTAATCTTCCAGTAAAATTATATTTTTTTTCGGGCCTTGGTATAACTTTAATATTTCCATCTGATCCTAGAATTTCTATAGGTGCTACCCATGCTTCTTGATCACTACAACAAAGAAATTATTATTATTAATATTATTTATTATTATTTTTTAAAAAAAAAAATAAATCAATTTATCACAACATACATATAACCTTTTTCTATCTGTAATGCTAGGTTCTCATCGCATGGAATAATTTTATTTGATTCATCCTGTAAAAACCATGTTGCACGCGATACCGTATAAATAGGTCCAGACCAATAAACCTTATGGACAACAAGATTAGACTTGATTTATATGTTTTTTAAGATTATTTTATTACATACCGGCATGATTTCTCGATCTTCGATATCAACCTCAAACAAGAAATCTTCATTTACTGGGATTTTATCTTTGGTTTTCCCAGATTTAAATGCATTTTCTAATGCGTTAGAATCTCGTTTTGAGAATGGTATCCATTCAATTGGATACTTATCTTCATCTTGTGATGTACTCGACAAGGGATCAAATAATGGAATGTCAATTGCATGAAACCTACGAACATATAATTTTCATAAATAGCATTTTAAATGAACTGGAAGGTTGTGAATCATCATTAATTACCATCGAACTTTTAATTCTGGATAATCTGGGGAATCACAAATTAAGTCAGAAACTCTATCTGGAGCTTTTTCGAGCTCATCCATTTTTTTTCAAAAATTTATTATTAATGAATGAATGAATGAAATAACAAAAAAATATTAAAAGATGAGGTTATAAATAGATAATCAATTCTGGTTGTCTTTCACGTGTTTCATTCTTTTTTTTTTTTGCGAGTTATTAAATATTTCTCACGACTAAAAAATTTACACGTAAAATACTTTTACACGTGAAACTTAAGACATTGTCATTGTTTTTTTTTGATCATAGAAATCTGGGCATTTTAGTTAATTTTGGCCGAAAATTCAAAATTCTATATTACTGACTTGAATTAAAGAAAATCAGACAAATCGGCCAACATAAAGTTAGTATGGCTCATTCGAATACGGGAATTGTCAATAATTTTCCTATTTAAGTCAATAACAATTATTCAGCCCTCCCTTCCCCCATAATAATAATTAATGCTTGGAGAAAAAATGTAATAATTTCCGAAAACGTTGTTCCCCCTCCTCCACCCAAGATCCTGTTTCCTAAATATCGAATTAAGGGTTTTATTTCCTAAAATAAAAAGGGTAATTTCATATGATATCCTGATTATGGATCTTTACGTCTACTCTTGACCCGAATTTGTAACATTTAACATCATAACAAATCAATTGTCTTTATGAAGTAATTCAATAATCAAAATGAATCAAACCTTTGTTGTCAATGATTTTTTTAATATCATCTCTAAAATCTAACTGTTTTCTTAAAATGGGAAAGAAGTAATAATATTTCAACTGCGCTTTGAATTATGCACATAGATTTATGTATGGTATCATGAACTCTTAAAGTCCAAATCTTTCCTTTAACAGAAATCGATAATAATGTAAAAAAAACCTGTTCTTTTTCTTGCATTAACATGTGTAAATAAGTTTTAACAGTTGATTCACGAGTTTAATTATCAAATAAGGACATGAAAGGTTCTCTGTACGTAGTTGATTTCAAAAAAAAGAAGAAACAATTAAAAGTTTGGATAACTTTAATATAAAATTTCTTTATTTGGATAATAAACAAAGGAGATCACACACATAATTCTTTGGTTATTCAATTTTAAATTAGGAAAACAAAAAACGTGGAGATAATATTTTTATGATAAACTTTACATGATTTGTTGATACCTAGATTAATCATGGGTTTTTATAGTTTTATTTTTATCTTTCTTTCTTTTCATTGACTCACCATGATTCCTCACGTACATTACCCATTGTAAAAAATGACTTTGAATAAGGAAGGAAATGTATTCAACTCATTGATTTGATTTATTCTCCTTCTTAAATTAGAAAAATTGAACGATATTTGAAATCGGATGCGGAAAGTTCTGATTAATTACTGGAAAACTTGAATTGTGTGACGGTGATATCTGAATTTTCAATTGTGTAATTGTGGCTAGTAACCCATATTTAGCAACTTTATATGATAAATGAAGTTTCTATTATGATATCGATAATGGACAATCATTTATTTTTATTTCTACAAACGCTTGGGAAAAGAAGATCATGTAATTGCTTAAATTTAAAAATACTTTTTTACACGAGACGCATCACATTATGACTAAAATTAGAAATCATGTGATATCTGCATAATTCACCCAACTTCTAGACCCAATCTATAGAGATTTCCATTTCATTCATCATTGATCACATGAGCGGTTATTATATTATCCATATCCGGATGTGAAATGATATCATCTCGGCGCATGATAAACCCAAGCCCCCAACTTTGTGACATAAAATTTTAAATATAGAAATAGCCTCAAAACTCAGGATAAATAAGAATTCACGGCGCAGAACATTCGATATATTTCAGCATTTACCTAAACTACCTAAGGAATAAAAAATTTACTACTTGACAGTGAATGATTGGATCAATTAAAAATAAGACCATTTTTTTTTCGTCTTAAATCAACACCCAATGATATTCTTTTGTGAATAACATTTTTGTTCGCGGTAAGATATTTAATATTAAATGCATCGGGAAATGTTTCCCGAATCGAATCATAAAATATTTGTCTGACGCAGGCCGCATTTGGCTTATTATTTGTATGCCGTAGTTAAAAGTTGGGAGTAAACCAATGAATATTGTGGATGTGCACGTGATCGTATCCTCTGAGGGTGATTTCGGAAATACGGAAATACGGCATCTTTTCTCATAAATCCTAACCCTAACACTCTTTACAATTAAGCTTACACATGTTAATGTACGCTAAGAGCAAAAAAATATGAATTAATAATTTATTATGTGCGACGCATTGATCGAAATTATTGTTCCATGAATGTAAATATTTATTATCATTATTATTATTACCAAAATAGAAAGTAGAATAAAGGGCATAATCTTTGCATTTTGAAATGAATCAATAGATAACGATAATGCAAAAAGATATGATCCTTGATGAATGAATGCGTGTTGCGAATCTGTAACAAGAATGTGACCAAATTTTTTAATTTAAACAAAGGATTTCAAAATTAAAAGAATTATAAATTTATTTTTTGAAATGTTCCTAAACCAAATAAATCCAAATTAATAATTGATAATACGCGAAAAGGACAAATTGATATGCATTGGATCAGTTGTACAAAGTGATCGATAATATTTGTTCGATACCTGATTTTTTTGATTTTTTTTTTGACTCGGAGGAAAATCAATATGTATTGATGTTCTTTTTTTGAAATATCTTTTCAATACAAAAATCATCAGAATATATATGTAATTGAAACAAAAGTATATAAGTAGTGTCACATTACATTCGGAAAATTTGTAAAATCGCGTTATCTTTGAGGTTGACACGTAATTTAATAGGTTCTTCTCAAGTTTGAATATGGAGAAAAGGAAACGGATTGCTCTTTTACCGATTTCATGGTTGGTTTTTTTTATTATATTATTTTTTTTTTTTTGGCTTGCATACTTGAAGTAACAATGCTACTTGTTTTTATTATATATATATCATTTTCGTGTCATCTTTAAAAAAGGATTTTATAAGCAAAAAAAAAGGCGTTTTTAAGAGTATGTAATCTGTAAATCAGAATTCATCGTATGAGAAGTTTAACTCGGCAAACACCGAAATCAGACTTGTATATGGATTTCTCTCGATCGATTAACTTTTTTTTCGTGGCAAAAAAGCATATTTAGTATAAAGAACTGGGTCAAGGGATTCTCCGAAATCAAAAAAAAAAAAAAAAAAAACTATATAACGTTCAAATTTATTTATTAAGTCTTAAAAAACACGTCGTATTTTCAAATATTTTTTGAATTTTTTTATTTTATTTATTTATTTTCATAATATATCATAAAAAAATCTGTAAAAAAAAAAAATGAGTTCTTATTATTTAATAAATCCTTATTTCATCCATATTTATCATAAAAATTATTCGTAAATTTGTTTTATAAATTTCTATCCGCCGCCATTCACCTTCCTCAAAAACGTAAAAATTTCACTTCGTTAATGCCAATTTTGTATGCCAATTTTTTTAAAAAAATGCTGTATTGATATATACATTGAAAGATATTTTGCCGTCTTTTTTTTTTGTTTTTTTTGTTTTTTGTTTTTTTTTTTTTTTTTCATCAGATTTTAATGCTTTCAGGTAATGCAAAATGGTTAAAAAAAAAAACGTTTTTTTTTGTATGAAAAGAAAATTCGCTATTTACAATGTCAGAAAAAATGATTAAAAAAATCGATTATAAATTCGATTTTGTCTATATAGAAATGTGTGATGTCGAAATGATATATTCTATTAATAAAATGTTCCTTGACTAAAAAAAATGTTCATATTCCCAAGATATATATATATGATATATTTATATTATATGGATGTATATATTTTTATATATATATATGTATGTGGTATATGCAATGATGAGTCACCTTCCATTATCTTATTATGCCATCGATAATTAAACGTTCGATTTTAAAGCGGAAAGGCAAGCGGAATGAGTCAGGTTAAGTGATAATTATTATTAATAATAATATAAGTATTACGCAATTTTTTTGTACTAATTATTAGATGGCGAAAAAAAATAAATAATAACGTCCCGAAATAAATTAATACCTCCGACAAAGGTAAAGTGCATATTATTATTAATTAGTTATATACACAAAATATAACATAAATTATATTAACTCTATTATGTATTTGAGCTAATAGATAACTAAAAGAATAAACGTCCTTTAACGAACTCTTCATGATGGTTACTGGAAATGAGCTTTAAACCTTGATAAGGGGCGTACGAATAAGTCTTTCGGACTTCAACAGCAATGTCGGAAAAGACACCATCATTGAACGTGTCGAATCCCATTGGCATAAGCGGTGATCGAGCTCTCAAATTCATTAAGAAATTCTCTCGTAACCATGAATGATTTCTCATGAATCTTCTCACAAAAGAATAAACCTTATTTAAAAAGCAATCCGTTGGATCTATCTCTATAATACTGCTTCGGTTACTTCCGGTCTCACTGTAATTTGTATAATTATCCATATCAATATGAGCTTTCTCTTCAAATTCATAAGGTTGAAAATCTTCATGTACACTAGTAGGTGACGAAGCGAACTCGACACGATGAAGGATGACTTCGAATCTCTGTCTTAATGAATATGATTGCTGATTGACATCTTCGATGATAGGTTGTAATTCAAATCTTTCATCTTGTTCCGATTCTTCCGACCAATCTTGATGAAAGAGTTTTTCTCTTATCCAGGCTTGTAAATCACCAACATCTGTGAATCCTGTAGCAGGTACGTTTGGACCATTTCCTGTTGTCATTGCTTGAAGAATCGGTACGATTTGTCTTCCTAATAAAGGTCTCATACCATTCAAGTTATAATTTAATGTAATGGTTCCCCTCATATACGGAGAATAATTATCCGAACGAAAAGCGGCTTGGGTTTGAATGAAGGGAGAGGTTGCCGTTGAACTTGGATGATGATATTGTTGCTGTAATAAATAAGGCGCGGGGATTTGAACTTGTTGCGGAGATAAATGTGATTGCGGCGGCGACAATTGAGCGACT